GCCAAACAGGTGTATGAATTAAATAGTTCCCTCAAGATGTTGTCAGCTGCTGGAGAGTCATCCTCGTGTCTGTAAGATTCAACAAGTTTCTTTTTCAGTTGGAGAGCAGACGATGCAAACTTCCATTTCCTATAGATCCTTGGAAAGCTTTGTGTGGACTTTTCTACTTTCCCAGCAGTTGGATAGTCCTGGGGTGGAATTCTTTGGAATTCATTCAAATTTCTTCATTTGATCATTTTACCATTCACAGTTGTTTTCTGCTTCTTGTTTGAAAACCCGTATCTAATTCATGCTATTTTAAAAAAATTCTGCACTTACCATAGAATTCCCTTGGTGCTTGTGGTACTGAATATTATAATGGAATACAAACATATACGTGTTAGTTGCGTTCTGTAGCCTAGGACATATGTAATCATGGCAAAGCTATTATGCTTGCTTGGTAAAGCCTAATTTTAATGGGTGCCTAGTGCTGATTAAATGCAGTTTTCTGAATATTAATGTAAATGGAGTCCATGTGGTAACAGAGTAATCTTGTACTCTTTTTCAAAGGGAATTTTCCTTGGTAATGCTGGTAGTTTCTGGAGCCTCTCTTACACTTCACTAAACTTGTGCAGATGCTACATCAATTAAAGATTGGTACAAAGCAATCTGGAAGAGACTGTATGGCTAGATTCCAAATATTCTAACTTTGGTACCAGACTGCTTTATTATTAATTCCATATTTGTATTGTATTTTTACTCCTTAGCTTCTTAAAATTTTCTGTGCATATTTCTATTTGGTTTCGAATTTAACAGTCTTGTTATCATTTCAACTTACTGTAAACCAGCAAATCAAATCCTAAAAAGACAATATAAGAAGCAAATGAAGCAAGAGAATCTTGGGACAAATGATGACAGAAGCACAAAATTAGGCTGAATTTATTTCTTTTATATTTTGCCAAGTGGCTGTAAATAGGGAATAGTCTTGATTTTATTTTGTATAGACCTAATTCTTCTGAAAAGATTAACAATACTTTTGACATTTGACTAATTGCAATTACAGTTCGGCCTCTCTATACAGATAGTGGTGAGAATACACAGTTTGAGTGCACACAAGGACAAGTTTTGTTTTGTAAGGACATTATGGTGCTGGAAAAAGGGATTTATTTACTTGACTAGAGTTCAGGCCTTGCCATGCTGCTTCTGATGCAGAGAAAGTTACAAAAGTGAGGCACTCGAATAACTACTTTTCCATAGCTGAGCACGAAAGCAAAATGTATAGTTTCCCTTCTGTTTTGCTACAGTATGTTTCTTCACTCACTTTGAAATGTAAAGCTTTGTATATGGGGGGATTTTTTTGTGATATGTAGAATATATAAGTATAAAAACGAAAGCAAAGTATGAGGAGGATGTGAGGCTATTACGGAGAGTGAAGGCTGTGATCCTGCTATGGCTACAGCTAGTGATTAATATAGTCATGGTTTCATTCATGAATGTATTGTATGATTTAAGTCAATAATAACAAACTAACTGATCTAATATGAACTCTTAGTTTACATGTGGTTCGTACAGTGAATATTGCATGGGTCCTGGAGAAAATAGGTGGTCAGATATGTAATTAGAGTCTTGCAATGTGTTTTATTTGAGTGAGTAAACTAAAGACACTTAGATAACATTCATTTTGTATTTCCAAACCCTAGATTGCTTTTTGAGGTTGATGTGAAGAATGGTGCATTGGGGGTGTGTGCATACACATTATGGCTGAAGTAGATCTTTGTAAGCTTTTGTATAATCAAGTTTTGGTTGGTTTTTTTTCTTTTAGATATGTTAGAGTTCTTGTAATGTCATGCTTACTTCTCTCTTTAGGAGATTGCTATCTTTGCATGAGGCTTTAATTTGAGATATATTTTCCATCACAGTATCCAGTTTAGCTTGAAGCACTAGTTCTTACACAGATTATTTTTCCCTGGGCATTTTAGCTTATCTTAGAGATAAGGGTTGGAAGTGCAGGAACAAAGTAAAGAAGCATGCAAGGTCAGCTACCACAGTAATAAGACTTAGAACTGACCTGACACCAGCAGCACATCTTTTCATTCACATTTTTTAGTTTCTCCACATTTGATTGTTTTACTCAGAAGAGAAACTGTCTCTTGATTTTTTTATTCTTCCTTTACACTTGCCTGTAGGATAGAAACCTCATCTGTTCCTTACTAGTCATTTGACATGCACTTCTAACAGAGAAAATGCTTTTTTTTTCTTTTGGAGCCTTTCTTCTGCTATGTTATTCATACCGTGATATTTCTCTTAAATCCTTTCTGAGATGTGAAATCTAGGGGATTATCAAAAGCAAAATTCGTCCACTTTATTTATCTGAATCTTGTCAGCTGTTGAACAAGAATGTCAGGACCAAATGACAATGAAGGGGCACCTTGCTTGCCTGTAGGTACCAATGTTGTAAAGTTGAATGCTGATTTCAAGTAAGGGTTGCTTTGTGATCTCTCTAGCTGGTTTTATGTGATGCTTTGCTTTTCTTTTCCTTTTCAAGGGGTAGGGAATGGTAAATATAAGAGATTTTTTTTTTTAAGAAAAATCCTTTTTCTTTAGAAGTAATAGTCAAAAACTCATGTTTATTCAGACTCAATGGAAAATATCTTCCTCGCCCCCAGTACAAAAATTCTTTCTCCTGGACTACATCCTTTTTGCCCTATTTTGAGCCAAACTCAGGAATGCTTCTCTCCATCTGTTACACACAGAGTCTGCAAGTAATTTCTATTTTATTTAGTTAATTCTTGCTCAGGTCTTGCCATATGGTCAGTAGCCTTTCTAGTTCTTGGTTATCTCTGCATAAAAGGGCCTTAATTTGCTTTAATTTTTTTTTAATGTACTCTTTGATGCTTTATTAAGCAATTTATTATGTAGATGTTATACTTAATACATGGCATATTTTGCATGTATGTAAACTTTAATCAGGTGCTTCCTGGGATTCTTAGTGTCTGCCACAAATGTTTTCTATGTGAGTTTATCTTGTAGTGTTAGGAATATACAGTGCTGTGTTATTGTTTTGTGCCTTTGTATTGGTAATGCTTAGGGTCCATTTCCCTTTTTGTAGCAATCATTTGGACAGTCATCCATTCCCTTCAGGTCCTGGTATCTGCCTGCCTGTGCCAGTATATCTTAATTTTGGTAGTTGGGTTGACCTTTGTAAGCTTGGCAAAATAGTAGTTTGAACATAAAAATTGCACTACCAGGTGACTTACAGGTTTATTTTTTGACTAGCTGGGTAGATTTTGTACCTGCAAGTGTTCGTTCATTTGGGGTGTGTAAGCACGTGTGAATCTCAGCAGGTTGTCAGAAGCTTTGTTCACAGTTGTGGTGGAACATTGGGATTAAGCATCTGAAAGAAATGTAGTTGCTGCTTATATTGGAGAAACAAATACAGTTTTAGGGGCTTCTTTTGTTGAGCATCTGGGAAATAACAAGGACAGTGAAATCAGTGATAAAACTTGAATTACTGCAATTCAGTGTACACACCACGTTAGTACTAGGACATAATCTTGCCAGAAGACACAGGTGAATGGATTCATTTAAAATGAACAGAAAAAAAAGAGTTGCTACTGCTCAGTTGTTGAACGTATGGGGTTTTTTGAACATTAATACATGAAATTGTCATCTCTCTCTTTTTTTTTTTTTTTTCCCCAGTGTGTTGTTTATTTTACATTGTTTGGAAAGTCTCCTGGTTAACATGCTGGGTATATCCTCAAACACTCAAAGAAATATTAAACATATGCAGCAAATTATCACAGTTTAAAAGTAGGGATGAGGATTGCCTTCTTTTTTTTTTTTTTTTCCTACAAGGACAAAGGAAAAGGAAAGAAAAAGAAAAAAGAAGATCTGAACTTATAAGTCTACATAAGTTTATCCCACTCAGGGAGGATTATGTGGCACAAGACATTCTGAGTACCAGGGTAACTGTTATTCCAGAGGTGAGCTATGGGTCACCCAACCTGCAAAGCTGATGGAAGAGGCACCGGCCTTCGTATGAGGTTCAGCTGTAAACAACTGGGAGCAATAATCTCCTGAGCTGTTGCCACCTATAAACAGATCTATTTATATTCTGCAGCAGCTCCTCTAAGACCTCTGTAACTGTTTTTAGTATTTTCTTGTCAAATAAATATTTATACATATCTACTCTGTGAGTTGTATTATTGATTATATTATTGCTGAGAAGGATTTATTCTTCTAAACAAATAGAACTGAATAATCTGTCCCATTTTACCTAATCTATAACTTTACAAAGTAGATTTCTCTCTTCCTCCTCACCACATCTCCTCCAGAAATTAGGTGGGGGTTTTTTTCCAGTCTGGAAGACCTAAAAATAACCCAGATTTTGGTTTTTTTTTGTATGGGTTTTTTGTTTGTTTGGGATTTATTTTGTTTAAATGTAAAAAAAAAAATAGTGTCTGCTACTTTAAGAAGGCTCATAGGTGAGGATTTTCATGTTGTACATTATTCTGGCCACCTGGCTCTGGGTGGCCCTGCTTGAGCAGAGGGGTTGGACCAGATGACCTCCAGAGGTCTCTACCAACCTCAACTGTTCTGCAATTCTGTTATATAGTATATGAAAAATAGCATTAAAATGTAGTAGTGAATTTTCATTTCATTACTTGTCACAGGGGAAAAAAAGAATGTACTTCTTGTAAACTGTTCACTTACAGACTTTTCATTGCTTTTCTTCCTGATAAAACTGCAAAGAAAGTGTGGTATCAGAGCATGTCAAAGCATGACAATGACCTAAATAGAGCTGACACAGAATAGATTTCCAGACATATATAATAGTAACAGCCAGATATTCTGATTAGTTGTATTTTATCGAAAGGTTTATTAAAAATAGTAAATATACCCTTTTTGAGAGTCTGCTGGGAATAGTTGTGAATGTATTCTTTTTAATAATTCCATGGTAGTGATAAAAACAATTACAGAGCTAAGTTGTTAACCCTGTGTTTTTATTTTTCTTTTAATAGCCCACATACAGGGGGGCAGAGTTACCAGCCTGATGTACCCCAAATCCCCACTGCTTGCATCTCCGTGGAAGATGCTGAAATGATGTCACGAATGTCTCTCCGGGGCACTAAGATTGTTGTGCACCTGAAGATGGGAGCTAAGACCTATCCAGACTCTCCATCTTTCAACACCGTGGCAGAGATAGTTGGAAGCAAGTACCCAGAGCAGGTGAGTGAGGCTATACAAAAAGAAACTTTTTTTTTTTTAGAAATACAAAAAAAAACAAACCCAAAGAACAGCTCTTTCTAAGAAATCACTACAACAAGTAACTTTTATCCACCTGCTCTTCTACCTTTCGGACATCTCACCTTCTCAGTCTTTTTCAGGTGACAGGTTTTGTTGCTACGTTGAACAGGTGTTGTATGTGTGTTTGGAGGAATAAACCATCTGCACCGAAAAGTATCCACCAATTCTGTTTGAACATTAGTTAATCCTACATTGTTGGTTTCCATTTATAAGACTGTTCTTCTCGCTTTCTCTTTTCTTCCAAATTCTTAGCTAAAAATCATACAACCTAAATTCATGGTCTTGAAGGATTTGTGCCTGGTATGAGGTCTTCTGTGTCAACTTCCAGCATGGAATGACTTTTCTGGCAATATAGTTTATTGTGAAAATGCTGCTGTAACCTCAATTACAGCAGCACTAGAAATTTCCACTATAGTACCTACTGATCCACAATTTTTTTAAACATTTTAGTTTTATAGTTTCAGTGGAATTACTGTCTCTTACCTTTAAACCAGGCATAGCTCTTGAAAGGTTTTATCTTTAAGGAGATGGTAGTTCTGTAACTCTGACTTGTGGTGTCTAGAGATCCTCAGTGTTAACGTGAATGTACAGTTTCAGAAGCTTGAGCAGGGAAAAAGTAATTACCCCCATAGTTGATTGGTTTACATCCCACCACCTGTGAGTCTAGCTTTATGAAACACATATTTAACAAGCTAAATGCTCCAGCTTCTAAATTAGGGTGCAGTTAATTTAATTTTGTCATCTGCATTTTTAACCATGTTTCTAACCACTTGATTGACTATCTTTCCTGAATTACGTTTTGTGTATTCCAAAATTTGACATTTCAGTTCAGGTTATAAAGTATTCAGATGTAGACTTCAAAGATATATTAAGGTGCTTGCCTGTACTTGATTTTCTCTTTGCTGTCCTGCTCTGTTTCTTTAAGTAATGAAGTGGATTGGGATCTCTTTGCTTCTTCCACCAAGAAGCTAATCTTTTTGAAACACTGAGTAAAGGCTTATTTACAAGCCCCCTGCTGATGTTAATGGAAGTGGTAGTGGACACACTTTCAAAATGTAACCAAGAAACAGGAAAATAAAACAAGTGAATGTTTAGGTTTTTTAGTACTCAGTTCCTCTTGGAGCCTCAATGGATGCTTCACACCACTCATTCCACTGTGTTACTCTAGTAAGAATAGGAACCATGTAGCTATTTAGGCAATAAAATACACTGCAGACCCAAACTCTTACAATGCCTTTTATGCCAAAGTGTTTCAAAATGCAGTACAAATCCAGGGGAACAGAAAGGTGACATTTCCACGGACCAGATTTCAGTTTAAGTTTTAAACTGAAACAAAAGCAAATCTGGATCTCTGAACTCTGGTTGAGAAATCAGCAGTGGATGGTATTGCTCTTACAAAGGTCTAAAGCAAAACAGTTTGAAATTAGGTTGAAGCCTGTGAAACATAACTGGTCAGAGGTATTGCCACAAATTATAACTTAAAATCCTGGAACTTAATTGAAAATGCAGGTCGCTGTAGAACACTGAAGAAGTCTGGTGAAAAGTGATTCAGTTTGAGATGTAACTGCACATTTAGATGTGCTTGTGTTCATCTATATGTTGAATTTAATATGCTGCTTGATTTATAAATTATTCATTAACTTCTCCCGTGGGATTTTAGCATATTTAATAAAAATAATCACCATGAACTGAAATAATATTTGTCTGACAGTTTTATCTGTAACAAGCACTGTTGAATATTATTACTCAAATCCTTTGGAGGAGAAAGCAATTTATTGTTTTTTTCTTCCCTGTTTAAGAGGTTTTTGGAGGGTTCTTTTTTGGTTTTGTCCTTTTTTTCTTTATTTGACCACTTTTGTAGCATTTTCAGTTCAGTTTGTCCTTTTTCAATCATTTTTCCAAGTGTTTTATGTGGATTCTTGCATTTAGCAATAGGGGTGGTCGTGGGGGGGTAAGGAAAACAGAAAAAAAATAATTGACATATTTCTGATATATTTTCCCAAAGGTTTACTGTATTTTAGACTTATTGTTCAGAAAGTCATTGCTGCTGCAAGAAATGTTTGATATCACCAAAATTGCTACTCAGAATTGTCAAACCTGCACTCCTTATTTTAGGCACCGATGCTTAACTTCAACACATTTATGTTTCTGAATAACTTAAAGCAGTAAAAGAAATGTGATTACTGCTTTGTGAAGCATCAAGCTCTCAGGGATGCATTCATCTTCAGAGGCGATGATGTGACATGAGTGCAGATGTCCTGTTGCTTTTTGAGGCAGCTCTGTACCGAATGCACAAATACTTTTGAAAAATTAACCCACTGATACGTCAGGTTTCCTTTCCGCTTTATGCTTTCTGTTTGGCCAGCCAGTAGGCAGTAAGCAAATGCTTCAACTAAGAAAATTGTACAGTGAAACCTACTGCAAATTGCAACTTTGCAGTGTCAAGTTTTCAGATGGTGTAGAAAGCTTCTGAACAGAAAAAGGAAATGGATTTTGTCATGCTATGAGTGAAGTTCAGTGTCTCACTAGTGTCTCTTTTCTGTTTATCGTTTTGTTATTACTTCTAAGTTAGGAAAGGGCTGCTCTCCCCAGACAAGCCCCTTGCTAATGTCAGAGCAGGCATGACTGTGCATGTTTTGAGCACAGACATCCACCATCCTCATCAGTCGTGAGGTCCTCAGTTAGTGGCTTCTGAGGCACGATTACCTGTAGGTGCCCAAAGGAGGTGAACCTGTGCCTATAAGATAATGAATTCAACATCAGCCAGGCAAAAAGGGACCTGGGAGTTTGGATTGACAGGAAGCTGAACATGAGCCAGCAGTGTGCCCAGGTGGCCAAGAAGGCCAATGGCATCCTGGCCTGTATCAGGAACAGTGGGGCCAGCAGGACCAGGGAAGTGATTCTTCCCCTGTACTGGTGAGGCCACACCTGGAGTACTGTGTCCAGTTCTGGGCCCCTCAGTTCAGGAAGGATATTGAGGTGCTGGAGCAGGTCCAGAGAAGAGCAACAAGGCTGGTGAAGGGACTCAAGCACAAGTCCTATGAGGAGAGGCTGAGAGAGCTGGGATTGTTTACCTTGGAGAAGAGGAGGCTCAGGGGAGACCTCATCACTCTCTCCAACTACCTGAAAAGAGGTTGTAGCCAGGTGAGGGTTGGTCTCTTCTCCCAGGCAGCTATCAGTAAGACAAGAGGGCATGGTCTTAAGCTCTGGCAGGGGAGGTTTAGGTTAGATATTAGGAAGAAATTCTTTGCAGAGAGGGTAATCAGGCATTGGAAAGGGCTGCCCAGGGAAGTGGTGGATTCTCCATCCCTGGAGGTTTTCAAGGTAAGACTGGTACTACCACTTAGTGCCATGGTCTAGTAACCACAGTGGTGTTGGATCAAGGGTTGGACTTGATGATCTCGGAGGTCCTTTCCAAGCCAGCTGATTCTATGATTCTATGATTTCTTCCTATAAACAGATGGGAAGCAGTGGGATCAAACATGCTATGACTTGATGCCCTTGCAGCCTTTCTGCGCTTGGGGTCCCATTCTCACAGTGCTTAGGACAGCAGCAAGACTAGAAAACCTGTGGGTTGTTGGACTTAACATATTTAAGCTTGTATGACTACTGACAGTTGAGCCAAAGAGTTTGTGAAATGAGAAGTATGGTGGCAGAACTTGCTGAGGTCCAGGCTATTGCAGGCTAGAGACTTTTTGTGCTGGTTTAAGAGTTAACCAGCAGGGGAAATGAACTCAACTCAAAGGAGAGATTATAAGTCAGAATAACAATTTACTAAAATAATACAGTAAGTACAATCATACAAACAATTGGTCTTAACCCACAAAACCCAAATGTATAACCCAGTACCCTGGGGCATGAACAACGTGGTGTTCCTTGGGCCCCGCTTGAGTCCAAAGTAAAGGGAGAGGGGAAGAACCTGCTGGTGGGAGAGCTGTTGCAGTCTGGTCAAAAGTGGTGATTGCAGTGAGATGCTGGGGGAAGAGCCGTTGCAGTCTGGTCAAAAGTGGTGATTGGAGTCCAGTATAGGGTGGTGATCCAAGTCTGTTTGAGAGCGATGAGCTGCAGTCCTTCTCTGGATCCCACAGAGTGGTTCCAAATGTTCCAAGACTCCAAGATTATATATCCTGCAGTTCAGGCAGGAATGCTCAGCACTTCCCTCAGGGCGGGGAGTTCCACAAAGGGTGTGAGGACAGGAGCATCCTCCTATCTCACAGGCCTCTTAACACCTAGTTTATAGCCTGAGGAGTCAGGCTCTATGGGCAGATGGTGTAAATGGTTCATTGATAACAGTTTCTGGGAAATGGCATGGAAGGCTATAGAATACACAGTTTTGGGTTACACCCATACCCTGATGAACTGGTCTCAGTTGTCCTAACTAGGACACCTTTGCAGACCATTCCTGGCTGTTATCTTGGAAGAGTATTTGAAGCATGCTATTGCACCTAGGACCATGCTGTTAGCATCTTTTTGTACTGTACTGTGCATTGGTGAGATGTTTTATTTAAACTGTGTAAGTTGACACTGGAAACTGACTGAGAAATTCACAAGTTAACTAATGTGGTTTTCATTTGAAATTCAGGCAGAGCTGGCAGTAAAACAAGTTTGTCTTCTTATTTCAATACAGATGTAACATGATTGGTCCTAAAGTGCAGCAGCAACTGTTCCTAACTCTGGGGAAATGCTATAAATAGCAGCTATTTGTTGTTAATCTAGCTTCAGTGTACCTAATGTGCCAAACATGGAACCACAAAATACTTAAGTGAAAAGGTATCAAAGTGGATAAAGATATAACTCTTCTATATAATCCTGACTTTCAGTGTCTTTCCATGCTGTGTATTTCTTGGTGTGCAGTGCTGTTTTACTTATCCTACAGTTACTAAGTGATAAAAAACTGTTTCCTAAGTGCCCTACAAAGTACA